TCTCAGCTTCGCCCGAGACTCACTAAATGGAACACTATAGTGTGTTAATATATAATGTAAGACATTTTCATTAAAAAATTTTACATCTATTCTTGACACTTTTCAGAAAAAAAATCTACTTATTAAAACCATATTTGTTAGGAATCCAACAAATGCATCCGTGATCAACAATGCCGTGATGGAAAATTTTCATGAAGAAATTGAATATGATTTGTTTGAAATGAAGCGTGACTACTGTTCAATTATAATACAATGTGTATTCTCATATGTACATATCTACATTTATTGATTGAAAGTCGTTTATGTTACGTCAATGTAGGCAGCCTACTGAGGGCCTACCAAATGCCACCTGACGCTGCCAACGTAGGACCTCAGTTGGCAAGAGAGGCAGCCTAATTAGGCCCTACTGATTGCCTACTTACAATTTCCGTTCGGGTAATAATTAAATATCACATACGTATTGTGTATATAGCATATACATACACGTACGCATGTATATATTATGTTATATATTATATATGTGTAAAAAAAATTTTCAAATTATACTGACTCCGAAAAGCAAACTACATCTTTAGGATTTGTAGTCGGGGACCTTATCGACTGTACTGTGCAGCACATCAATCCAATCTTTGTTTTTATTATTTATAGATACCAACCGAGAAACTTTTGAATTAGAAAATTGATCTATAAATGGATGTTTTTTTGTATTGTATATAATTGAGCCCGCCGATTGAAAAAAAAATAGTTATTATTATGTTTAAGTGGTCTATTGATATCAAAGTGGTGTAAAATTGTGTTTTAAAGTTCATTTTGCCTATATCTGGTAACGACTTGATATACAAAAAAAATAAAATACCAGCGTGAAGGGAAAAAAATTTTATATCAATAAGCAGTTTTAATTTTATTTTGACAACCGCAAAATGTTGAGAAAAAAATAAAAAAGGCATTTTGGCAGTACCTGTAAAAGTAAGTGATACAGAGAGAGCCATTGATCGTTTGATCTTGCGCTCGCTCTCTCTCTCTTTCTATAGTACTCATACAGGTAGGAATTTTTTATTGCTTTTTTAAAAAATTTTATGCTTGTAGAGTATGACTTATCAATATTATACTGAGTATTATTTTCTCATCATTTTACAAAAAGTTCTCCTCTGTGAACAGGATTATTTTAAAACATCAATATTTGATCATAATGCAAAATTCTTCCTGGTTCTTCCAGTTGTGTTTATTCAAACTCTGTTTTTCAAACGTAGATTCGCTAAGTAAGCGCCATTGCTCCGTGGCTGCCTTACATCCCTCAGGCCCGATTTTGCAGGTTCCTCAGGCCACAAAATATCCTTTGAGACTATGGCACTTATCTGAAAAAACTACTATTTTCATCATACACAATCAAACACTACCAAGTTTAATAACATATTCTATAATGTTTTACATTTGTCGTGGGTCCCAAGATTCACATCTGGTTTTTTTGGTGTTAGAATTACTGTTTTCATTTTTCATCATAACCTCTATTTATACAATCACTGTACATTTCATAAAATTATTTGCTTAACGTACAAGACAACGTTGTCATAACTTCGAACTAACAAATAACGCATAACAACAACAAGTAAGAAAGACAAAGATATTATGCTTATAATTAGCCCTTTATTTTTAATTTTCAGTAAGTTACTTCCTTATGAACACTTTTTATGAACTTTTTGATTCCATTGTCATTACAAAAACAGTTGTTGAAGATGCAAAAATTTACGTTGACCTTAAAACTCTTTCTATTGGTTAATACCATCGTGCTGTCAGAAACATACAGGGACCACCAGCCAGAAAGCGTAAGAAAAAAAGCGAAGCGTTTAGTCCTATTTCTGCTGGCTGGAAAAAAAAAGAGAGCGAGAATTTAGTTATGAATAAAATGTAAAAGAAATTATTGCAAACCAATTATATTTGAATAAATGGAAGCACTTTTTTGGTTGACATGCATACACAGGACTCTTATACCTATCTAAACCCAGGCGCCACAATCACATAACCAGCAGGAAATTGGTGGTGGATTTGAATACTAAATGTAAAAAAAAAAAAAAAGTTAAGAGAGCAAGCATTGAATATGCATGTACGTGCATACCAAGCGACCCACGAAAAGGTGTTTGAGGAGACTGAATGTGCGTACGTGTGTTGGCACTCTCACTTTGTTGCGTGAACATTATTACGCAATGTGCATATACTTCTGCGCACTCGCTGGTAGAGGAATAAGCAAGGGGACTGATTTTCGTAAACGATATACAAATTTTTTAGGAAATGTCTTCACAAATTACTGCTTGCGTATATCTTTATTTTTGTTCTCATTTTTAGTAACCAAATGACATATTACATACTTAATAATAATCATATTAAATAAGTCATTAGAATTACAATTTAGTTAAGAAAATTAAAATTAATGCTTTCCAGCTGATGGGTTCTTGAACCTTTCATGCATGACAAATATACGGGAAAGACACATACCGCCGTAACCCACGATAAAAAAGATCTATTGAACTCACATGTATTTACGAACTTCGTATTTTACAGTATACATGTGATTTCTACATACATGCGAGAACTTCGTTCTTATCAGGAGACTCCATTTCCTACATGCTTGTTTTTATTAATTATAAAGTGATCGTTGATCATTGATCTATAAAACGTATGAGGTGTAGATCACTTTTTTGACAAGTTGGCACTTAGTACGAAAAATGAAATAACGTAAGAACTGTTTAGTCGTATTAATACATCTATATACGTAATTAGTACATACGGGACTTTGAACACAGAAATGCTTTTGATTTTATTACAAATAATGATCGTTTTCACGCACCAGATGGACGGGGACTAAAAAATATAGCTATATGATAACGATAATTCTATTAGTTACGTATACTTTGAAAGAGAAAGAGAGGTCATCTTTGTACCATCAAGTCTCGAATTTGTTCGGAACTCAATGTTCGTAGTACTAATTGTTATTTGTATGTGTGAGGAAATCCATAAAAACTATTCCGTTTTTGACCCCCATTAAAATAAAATATGAATTTTTTGAAGCACCTTTTCAACCAGGCTCATTTTATTCGAAATGTCACGTCGTGTGAGAAATAATACTAACAGTATATTACGCACCTAGTGAGTGAGGTTAAGAATGTCGCAGATGTCACGTGAATAAATGTGAGATCTAGGGCATTCCTTAGCCTCCAAACGTGGTGCGTCTACTATTTTTCTGCATACCCTCGTTGAAAGAGCTGATTTTCTGTTTTGCAGCAGGGCAGATATAAAGCACTTTCAGCGGAGGTATGCAGAAATAGTATATTACGCACCTAGTGAGTGAGGTTAAGAATGTCGCAGATTTTACGTGAATAAACGCCCGAGGTGAAGCCGAGAGCCGAGGGTGGATAACGTGAAATCCAGGACATTTCTTAACCTCTGAGCGTGGTGCGTAATCTGTTTTTTATCAATCCTGCGTTAAGAGAAGGGATTTTCGTTCCACGAAGCGAGACTAAAGTTCCTACTTTCGACGCAGTATGATGTAAAAAAACTCTTAACACGATACTTGGTAAGGGTGACACCCTTTTTTCGCGATTAACACATTAAAACTGTATCCATATATATCTATGTATACATAATATAAACCATTTTCAAAGTTTTTTCTCAAAGGACACGACATAACAAGTAAAATAAACGCAATTTAAAGGGTGCTTTTCAAACAAATTTTTCTATTAAAGTGGGAACAAAAATTCAATTTTTTTTGTAGATTTCCTTATAAATTTTAAATGTGAGAAAATCCAATTCCAATTTTCACCTACGCTCCGAAAAAGAACCATGTGTGGGTCTCAGAACCGCAGACAGAAGTGAAACATCCAACTCAAATGTCATTAAACTCAGTACAACAGAAACTGAGAAAATTTGAATACACCTAACTTTAATAAGTCTTTAAGAATCCGATATCAAACTAGTAAAGTTCATTATATTAAGTGTTAGAGCACGCATGCGCATAAAATATATATACATATACTCATACATACTACAGGTTACACTTAATTCGTATATTCTAAGTACTTTCATGTTTGCTATGATATATGTTTTATTGCATGTACGAATTTTTGGTCATGTAATGCAGAACGAAACAATAGTTTTCATCGTACTGCTTTAAAAAAATGTACTTTGGTGCAGTTCCAGACAAAAATTCCTTTCATTTAAAATTACTGTTTGTCCATTTGATATGATATCATATACATACAATCAATTTTTGTGAGAAACATTTTATATGACAGAAGAAAATTTTCTTGAATTATGGCTACCATAAAAGAGAAATAATACACTCTACTTATCTGATTGAGATTAAGGAACATAATAGACATACAGCATTTTCTATTGTAAAGTTGTAATTTTCCGTTTAATTCGTTTTCTATGACTATTTATAATTTAATATTAAGACTTACCCGCGCTTAACTAATTTCTACTAATCTTAGAACTATGATAGTAAGAATGTAGGTTTAAGTGACGTGACAATTATTCTTATAATACATGATAGAGAATAGAAAATAATCAATTTATAAGTAGAATATGGAGGATGTAGCTTTAGCTTTTAGGTATGACTTATTATTTCTATAATTATTACGATTGCTGAATAAATCCGTGTACCATATATTTTTGCCCTTAATAATTATTTTCTACACGTGGAATCATTATTGGCCTATCAGGCTTTCCATTCGAGATAGAACTATTTTTTTAATTTTGAGAGGTTGTGTTTCTAAGAAAAATTCTTCGCAGATTTTGTCAACATTCGTATAAATGTTGTAAACATTCCATACTGAATAAAGATTTTTTTTACTCGTTCTTTTTAAGATACAGTCGAAAAAAAACGAATAAGGTTATGTTTGTGCATGATTCAACCCTGCTATATTTGTGCACCTCGATCACGTAGCTCCCTTTCAGGAGACCCGTAAAAATTGTTACATTTCTACAGTTTTGCTTCCCTTCCGAGATACAGCGTTTTTTCTTGTTTTCAAAGGTTAGGTTCTCATATTATAAATATTTAATATTCTATGAGCGTTTCTTACACACGTATATACATACTATAGAGTAAATAGGAAAGAAGAACGATTTTTACTACGTTTTTTTGAAGATTTAAGAAGATCAAGTGACGATTCGTGTCAGACATTATTTACCTGATAGTACGTGAGCTGTAACAGAGGCCTAGCCCATATCACAGCCACGTTACGATTTTTAACATGCAGCAGTAGGCTATGACTCACCAGAATTTACTCGCAGACCAGGACATGCATGTATATATGTATACAATATACATCCGTACATTTTGCCTCTTGTATAGGTACAGCTGTTGTTTTTCTCTTCCATTCTCTTTTCTTCATACCTATACC